CCCAATCGCAGGAGCCTTCACAAAGTAGAGGGGAGACTGGGGGATGGAACAGGGCCTGTCTAATCAGGTAACCTGCTGCACAAGGGGACCATCTGTCCCAGGAGGCACTGCCATGCAGGGGCGGCAACGAAACACAACCAGCCCTTTGCACCCCAGACTAAGCAGCCGGACTTTGTGCCTGCCTCTTGGTGAAGCATTCTCTTTGAAGATGTTTTACTCTGCCCTCAGCACCAATTGTGTGTCATTTGGAGGAAATATTGCCTCCTCCTCCTTCTGGTCATTAACTCTTTTGCTCTTTTTAAAAAACATTTTAAAAGGTAGATAAAAGGTAACCTTGTGGACGTGGCATTTTCTTCTGTTAATTACATTTACTTTCAACCAAGTTCTGGGAAGTGGTCTGGTGGCCTGAAAGGACCACACACACACACACACACACACACACACACACACACACACACACACACTGATAGAATCATAGGTTATTTAAACTGGAAGAGACCTTGAGATTAGCTAGTGACTCGATTCTAGTCCAGGCCTCTTACTGTACAGATGAGGAAAATGAGGCCCAGAGAAGGGGAGGGATAGACAGTGAGTTACTGAGCTGGGACCAGCATCCAGTCTTCTGTCTCTTGGCCTGTGCTCTTACTACCAAACTTTAAGTCCAGAGAGGCAAGTCCTGATATTAGCTGGGACTATATCACCCAATGACCTTGACCCAGGACCTTACCTTTTTCTATGAAGGAGCTGTTGCCTGCCAACCTCACAGGCAAGGTATGGGAAGAGCTTTATAAACTCTCAAGGACTGTACTTGTGATGGGGGCAAGGTTGGGCTAAATGCTCAGGCACTGAATACCCCCACGCTGGGGGGCAGGGAGGAGTGGGGGCTAGTGGTGCCTGGTTGGTTGCCAGCAAGTATGTCCAGGGACTTAGAAAACCACTTGGCGCCTCTAACATCCCCTTAGCAATCTGGGGCCCCAAGGACAGGCCGTACGTGACAATTCTCTAAGAACCAGCTCTGGAATCCCAACTCCCACCAGACCCCAAGGCTCCTGGTTTGGTGCCTGATATGAAGAGTCAACGCTCCGCAGAAAGACAACGTTCAGCTTCCAAAGCCCATCAGCACCTCACATTCATTCTCCCTGTCCGTCTTCCCTTCACTCTCCTCCAGTCACCACCGAACCACGTGATCGTCATGGACTTTCCTAAACCTGTGCCCATGTCCTGCTTCTTCCTCTTCCTGGAATGGAATGGCCTTTGTCCCTGCTGGTTCTTGTCAGCATTCTTCTCATCCTTCAAGTCCTACTTAGTGACTACTGCATTTGTGGAGCTTTTCTTGACACTCCCTTAGTGGCCCCCAAAGTTAAAATTGATTACTCCGTCCCTGATTCCCTATATCACCTGTGTATAGCTTTTTAAGGCACTTATCATGGTGTATATTATAGTTGTTTTGCGTGTATGTCTATCTCCCTTTCAAGATTCTAAATTCCTTGAGAGGAGCAATTCCGTTTCACTCATCACTAGTTGTGCAGCACCCAAAACCAGTGATGCTGATTATCGAATGCATATTTTGTGCCAAGTACTGTGTTGATTGCTGTTAAGTGCATGTCTCACTTAAGCCTTACCAATGAGTAAAAAGCATTACAATTGCAAACCTATGAAGGAGAAAATCAGGCCTTACAGAGATCATTGTCTAAGATCCCTTAGCTATGAAGTAGAAGAGCTGAAATTTGAACCCAGATCCGCCTGGCTTTAAAGTCTGTGCTCTTAGCCTTGGGGTTTTATTGACCTGTTTAGCGAGTGGGCAGTGAGAATCTGTTGAGATAGCATTGGAAACTGTGGGGGTTAATGTGTGGACACTCCCCAACAGAGGCCAACCACAAACATCCAATTTGACACTTGGATGCTTTTTATGATGTCTCTTTGATATAGTATTTACTTTCTTACTTCTGCTTGGCCAAAGTGGGGATTAAGGTCAGTTGGCTTTCTGAGAGTTCACAGAAGTGTGAGGTTTGAGAAGGTGGAGCTGTGTTGGGTCACCGTTTTCCTGAGTGTGTTAGAGGCACTGGGGCAAGCCTGGACATTGGCTTTGCAAATAGTAGGTCTTTCTGTGGCCAGCTCTGCAAGTAGGCGAGGGGAGTGTTGGCGTGGGGTGTTGGAGGTGGACTAAGGAATGACAGGAAATGGCTTTCCCCTGGCAGTCCCATTGGTGACTCACATGCCCAGGTCCTGACGGTCCTTCCCCACCTACCTGTGCCCTTTCAACGGAAGTCAGAGTTGGGGAGATGGGAGAAGGTTGAGGGAGAATGAAGGAGGAAGAGGACAGAGCAGGCAGGAGAGGATGTGCAAGGCACGGAGCTAAGGGTGGGCTCCCTGGAGCAGGAGGCAGAATGGAAGTTCCCAGGGAAGACCAAGAGCACCCACACCCCATCCTTTCAACATTATCACATTGTCACGGGAGCATCTTCCAGTAGCCAGACGCTGTGTAGCATTGTTCGGGCTGCTATGGAAGGGCAGGCAGACCCTCCAAACCCAGACAAGAAGCCCTGGCCATGCTCAACTGTCCACATTGACTGCCCTCGGTTCTCACATGCCCCTGGCCCTACCTACTCTGCTCCTGTTGGCATTCAGGGTGGCACAGGAGCCTCTAGCATGGCTGGGCAGGTCACTGGGGAGAATGGGGCTGAATGGAAGGGGGAGTTTGTGACAGAGAAAGGGTGTGAAGAAAAGGCCGTCTGAGGGAGCACATATGTGTGAGGTTCGGAGCCCGCGAGAGTGCTGCGGCTGTGTGAGAGAGCACAGAGGGTTCTGTGAGGGAGGGGGCAGCGAGCAAGGAGCTGGCATTGCGGAGAGGCTGTGTGTGGAAGTGCTGAGAGACACTGTGTAGACAGTGTGTGATGGAGGTGCGGTGAGTGGGAGAATACGACCTGGAGGTGTTTGTGAGATGGAGCAGATGTAGACAAGGAGTGTGCGTGTGCCTTACTGTGGAAGGAAGCAAAGGAAAACGACAAGGCAGCTGAAATTAGAACAAGAGGCAGGAAAAAAAGGAACCAGGTTCAGGTTCTACCAGGAAGTGATTAGAGTGGTATGAAATTCCCTTGGGAAGAGGGGAGGCAGAGGTAAAAGTGTGTGTGTGTGTGTGTGTGTGTGTGTGTGTACACGCATGCGCGCACATGCATGCGCACAAGGCTGTCCTGGATTTACAAAATGTTCTTTTGTAAATACCTCAGAGTGTTTCGTAGCTTCTGCCTAGGTTGGGAAGTGAGGACAGAACAGAAAAATGGAAGCTCAGGTAGGGCTCCCATGACATCAGGGGCAGCCGGATGTGAACTGGGTCTCCTCCCACAGACCACCTCCTGACCACTGCACTGCCTGACACCCAAATCCCCTCATCTTCACAGAGAAACCATGCACCACAAAGCAAGGCCATGCTTGCTCAGTGGAATCCCCTAACTTAGAGAAAAACAACAAAGACCCTCCCTTCCCCAAAAACATCTGAGGGTTTAGGCTCATCTTTCCTGCTGACAGTGGGGAGATAAGGATCAAATAGCAAGGATGTTTCCAGAAGTGTCTACTATTCCTTTTGCCTCACACAGGCAGAATTAGCGAAGTTCTCCCTGGCTGAGGGATGTAGATTGATTGCCTGGTTTTATTAAGGACAAAGTGCTTTTTGATAGTATGAGGGAAGCGGCTCCCCAGGGCGGGGATTCCGGTTCTGAGCTCCCTGAGCATCGATCGCCGGGGCTTCCCTGTCTGGTGCTGAGCTGAACATGGGCTTTGGCAAGCAATAAAGAAACTATGATTCTTAAAAGAAAGAACTCCAGGGAGACGCTGGGCAGACCAACCCTGGGCACTGCTCTCAGCAGCCTTTCCTACCCATAACCTGGAGGGACTGCCATGGTGACTAAATCTTTGCTGACCTACTGAGTGACAGTTCACACATTGGCTGCTTTACACATATCACCTGACTTACTCTTGACACAAAACATTACAGGTAAGGCAGCCTTAATGACTCTCCTTTTGTCTATCAGGAAAATGAACTACAGTAAGGCCAGATAAACTCATCAAGGCCACTGTAATTACGACATGGATCCCAGATTTACACTGGGGTTAGTCTGATGCTAAAACTCAGGCTCTTATCACTGTCCTCCATGACCTGTGGTCCATTTCCTGATATAGGGCCAGATGAACACTGTCCTTCTGACATGGTTCCTGGGGGCCTATTATACAGACTCCTAAGAGTGTAAAGGGGTAGACTCACCCAGAAGGAATGTCTGTGTGTGACTTAACAGAATTGAGGGTTATTCTGGGCTTCCAAGGCCATCAAGGCAGACTCTATGCCTGGAGATTTAGAAGCCATTGATATAGCACCAAGTCACCATGCGTTTTATTGCTCTTTCAGCTTCTCTGATGCATCTTTCTTTTTCTACGATAATTTCCTGTGTTATTCACACCAATGTTGTGGGGCGGGTGGGCAGGGAAAGAACTCTAACACAGGTGAGGAAACTGGAGCCTAGAGAGGTAAAGAGACTTGCACAAAGTCACATAGCCCCTCAGGGAGATTCAGAATCGAAACCCAGATCTTCTGCCATAGGCCTTTTACCTACATGGTATATGTGGTATCCTCTTTCTAAGCCACAAACAGATTATACACAAGCAGGTGTAAGTCAAGTAACAGAAACAGTTGTTTGATATGACTATTCAGATAGAATTGCCAACCTACAGATCAAAGTAAATGGGAAGTCACATGATCTCAGGGGCAAATCATGAGGTTATCATGACTGGGTCCGCTGGGGCCATTCAGGGTGAGGCCATTGTTTTAGATGACAGTGTTTTTGAATCCCCCATCCTAGGGTCCCACACCCCTCTGACTAGGAACCCTTTCTGCCTCCCCTTCACAGATGGAATGATGGAAGCCAAGAGGGGAGGCAGGGTGTGTGCAGAGACGGGCCCTAGCCTGTGATCAGGGGGTGCTGGGAGGGCTGCACAGGGGCAGGACTCACTCTTGACAGTGAGGAACATGGACTTGCTGATGTCGGTGCCCACGCCGTTGCTGGCCTGGCAGAGGTAGTAGCCGATGTCCTCTTCTAGGACGTGGCGGATCAGCAGTGAGCTGTTGGGCAGGATCTGGATGCGGCCGGTGAGGGGCACCGGGTGGTACTGCTGGGGGTTCCCGCTTCCTGGAAGGAGGCAGCGGTTAGGAGTGCTGCTGCCTAGGCCAGGGAGCGAGCTGGCTGGATTGGAATGCCCCAAGGAATGGCCCCGATGCCTTTCTCTTGACCATGGAGGACCATGTTGTAGCATCCCCAAAGTGCTGGGAGCCCACACAGCTCCTGTTTCTTGGGCAACAGGAAAGACCCTCATAGAGAGCCGGTCCTGCCCCCAGCTCTGAGTAAGAAGACGGAGTTCGGGGCCTCAGCTCAATGCCCACCTTGGCACTGAGCTTCTTTGGGGGTAAATTCCTCAGAGAGGAAGAAAGGGTTGTGTTTGAGCCACTTGGCAACAGGCAAAGGGAAGAAGACCGAGCCATCATCTGGCAAGTGCCTGGTCTTAGGCAGCCACGCCTGGAGAGAAGGCCAGCCAGCCTCCAAGGGGGGGGGGGTTTGGGCAGCCCCTTCTGTTTCCTTAATGTCAGCCCTGGGCATGATCTAGACAAGAGGTTGGTATGGGGCTTAGTTAGATACCAAAAGTATCATTGGGATTAAATTGGTCTCCAAGAACCCAGAATAATTGGTGAGAAATAGGGTTTGATGAGGCTCAGGGAGTGAGGGTGGGGAAAGCAGGGTACTGTGAGTTCTAGATCTGGAGGGGGGAGGGGAGAGCTGACTCTGTGGGGGCAAGAGGAAATTTAGAGTCAGCATCACAGCCGTCCCTGGTCCACAGACCCCTGGGGTAGCTGAGGATGACCTCCAGATCAGGTATCGGCTGGGGTCTCCTTAAAGCTCAGAACGTAGGGTTCCCACCCAGGGAGAGGGGTTGTGTGTAGGAACCGGACCCAAGTCTTATCAGCACCCTACCCTCCTCATCCTTGGCCACCCGGAGTTGACGGCTGACCAGGGGCTTACCCTTGGCATGTTTCCACATGACCTTGGGCGGGGGGTAGCCATCCACCGAGCAGTTGAGCACACCGGCTTTGCCATAGATGCCATCTTGGTTGTTGGGCTGCACCACGAATCGAGGGGGCACTGCAGAAAGAGAGAAGGTGGGAAAAATAGATCACCAGTCTCTGATAGATCTTCTGGGGCTTTGGGCACCTTCCATGCAATGTCAGCCCCTTCTGGGCTACTTTAAAGTTGGGACCAGGCAGCCCCCACACCAGAGATGCTGAGAGTTTTTGCTGAGTACTGGGTTGGGAGTTGGGAGTTCTGACTTCCAATTCTGATTTTGCCAGCGACTAACTGAGCAAGCAAATGTCTTCCCCTCACAGAGCCTCGGGTTCCTGGCCTGGAAAAGTAAGAGGTTTGAACCTCTTGATCTTTAAGGCACCTGCCAGAGCCAACCTTCCAGAAGCCTGTGATTTAAACCTGAAATCTAGAGACTTTCAGCAGTAGACAGAGCTGGACTCTCCCTCCGCCACCACCGGCCTGCCTCCACTCACCACGCACGATGAGCTGGCGCTCCCGGCTCACGGTGGCCGCTGCGTTGCTGGCAATGCACGTGTAGTTGCCGTTGTGCTTGAGGGAGACGCTGGAAATCTGCAGGGAGCTCATGAACTCCTTGCTCTCGATGGTCACACCCGAGCCTGAGATGATCACCTGTCCGTCCTTCCTCCAGGTGATGCGGATGGGCATGTCCCCCGAGGACACCACACAGGGGATGTACAGCAGCTGGCCGATGGAGGCTGGTGGGAACTCGAAGGGCTGGATCAGAGGGGGCACTGGGAAGGCAAGGGGGTGCTGCTGTTAGGCCCCCTCCTCGCCCCAGCCTGGCCAGCAGCACTGCCTCGCCTGCCTCACCCTCGGGCTCCTCCCTACCCTGGGGTAGGCCGTGAATAGAGTACATGCAGAATCTCCTGGGGTGCCCTGCCGTTGTCCCCTGACTCCCGTCCCCCTTCCCACCCAGGCCTGGACCCACTGCCTCTGTCCAGGGCTTTTGGCTGGCCTGCAGTAATCCTGACCTTCAGACTTGTCCTAGAACTTGAATGGTGATGCTTCATGGGCTTCTTGACTCTCATCTGACTGCTCAGCTTTCACCCCCATTTCCCTGCCATTCCTCAGCGCCCCTGCACCCACTGTCTCATACAGAGATGCATCTCACAGCACTCTGAGGACTGGGGTCACTAGAGATGATGTGCCCCTGATGTGGCAGGGAGGAAGGTGGGCGCTGAGACGCTCCTTCCTGCATGTCCCGTGGCTGGTTGCCTAAAAACAGGGTGCTGTACTCTGATCTCCTCCTGCAGAGACCACCCACCCAGCCCTTTCCATTGTCATCAAGTAATATTAGTACAGGCTAGTGGAAGCTCCTGGAACTGGTTGTGTCAGTTGCTGTGTCCCACACACACCATCTCACTGAATCCTCCCACCAGTGATTCGATGTGAACTTAAACTCTCTCCATTTTAAAAACTGAGGTTCAGAGCTGAGAAGTAATTTGCCCTGGGTCACCCAGCTAATAAGAGGTGACAGTGGGCTTTGATCTAATCTGTCTGTTCTCCAGCTCCAAGCTTTCTCCCTCATGCTGCCTGGTTGCCTCTCTGAGAGAGTCCCAAACATGCCCAGAACAGAGATCCTTTTGTTTTGTAAATGAACTCCCCTTGAGTGGTAGGAAAGAGCAGAGAGGGTGCCCTGTTGTCTTTGAGATAACCAGTTGGTTAGACTCATCTGGCTAAGCATCATCACACAGCCTCCCTCCCCACAGAGATCCAGCTTACCCTCCCCTCCCCCCACCGCCCACATCCCAGCCCCTGGGGGTGGGGGAGGGTTGTCTGGAGCCTGAACGGCTGTGGGAGGGATCCTCCTTTATCAGCTCTGGCTAGAGCATCAGCCATTATCTTTATGATAACTCAATTAGGCCACAGTGACTTCCCCAGCAAGTGGGGGGAGAAGAGAGAGAAGGAGACAGACAATTAGCTTAACAAGGATGAGCACCAAGTAGATGAGATCTCCTTTCTGCAGTCAAATAATTAAATTACAAGGCTGTCCAGAGTCCTCTGGCCTTCTCCCAGGCACCAGCCCCACCTTCCTGGGAAGGCTGCCACTCTCTACTCTAGGCCCACCCTGAGTGGCCACAGCGGGGGTGGGAGTGTGTGGGGATTGGGGTGGGGGGAGCCCTCAGGGAAAAAGGATGGCTGGCTTCCTATGCATGCCCAAGCTTCTCCCTGTACCCCAAGGATTTTCAGGGCTCAGTAGGGAGCTGCCCCTGTGGAGTGGCCAGGTGTGGACGTGGGAAAACCCTTGGAAGCCCTTCAGATACCTGGGAAAGGTCTTGATCACCAGCTCTAGGTGAAAGTGACATTTAGGAGGAGCATTGCCTCCATGACCTATAGGTTGAGAGCCATATCCCTCCGCAGGGCCCTTAACCGGCTTTCCCAATGTCATCTCCCACCTTACCCTGTGCTCCAGCCACAGGGGCTCTATCAGTGCCCGTGGCTCCAAGCCTCGGCCTGTGCCTGGGGAAACATAGCTGGGCATTTGCCCTTCTTACCTCCCACCACGTGTGCTCCTGGCCCACTGGCTTGGCTTTTGACCCATTTCCTTCCAGATCCACCTGAGCCCAAATTCAGGTCTTAAGTCCAACCAGGTTTCCTGGGGTTCTGGCCATTGTCTGGATTTCCCCATCCCAATCTCTGGCTGCCTCTGCAACCTGGGTTGGGGCCTCCCCAGTATTCTGAGTGGTTCGCTGAGTCTTGGCTATCCAGACAGATTTTTCTGGAACTCTGACTGCCAAATGCTCATTGCTGAGACATCCCAGAGATTCCTCTGTTGGGCTCTGTGAACCAAACCCACCCCGCCCCTACTTTTTTGGTGCCTAGGTCAGATGTAGGCCTCTGGCCTCCTTGGACATTTTAGTAGAACTGTTGCAGAGGCCCAGATCTGCCACTCAGTTTGTTTTCTGAGACCTAGCAGAACCATTTCTGGTCTAGTCCTTCCCATAAAGGCCCAAAGCTACTACAGCCTGTCAGGCCTCCTGGGAAACCCTTGCTCCTCCTTTCAGACCCTGCTCCCATGCCACCTCTTCTGTGAAGCCTGCCCCCACCTGCACAGCCCTGTAGGCACCCAGTTCACACCTTGATCATGGCACTGATCATGTGGCAGTGGGGTAGCTTTTGCTTTACCACCTTTCCTGGGAGTCTGGGAGCTCCTTTAGGGCAGTATCTAGGACTTATTTACCTGGCAAATTGTAGGTGTCAAATAAAATGCTTGTTGGGTAAGTACAGTAAGTGAAAGAACATATGTCTGAATATCATATCCTGGGTTGATCTCAGAAGTTTACCTGTGAGGTAGGCAAGGGGTGGGGAGAGCATAGGATGGGGGTTCATCTAGGAAAGAAGGCTCTCTGTGTTGTTCCTCAAGATGCTGTATTTCTGCTGGAATTTTGGAGCTGAGAGCTTCTCCGTTGGTCCTTCCTGGGGGTTAGGCCCTTGTCCTAGCACCAGAGTTTGCTCCTTTGACTTAAGAGCCTTATGGACATGGGGAGTCACAGCAGTGATGAGGGACTGCAGAGGGGAATGTGTAGACAAAGCAAGGAGCCGGGAGGTTCTGTCTGGGGAGGGGGGGCTGCGGGGTTGCCAAGTGTGCAGGGCTATGCCCAGGAGATGGATGGTCAAGAAGACATTTCCACTGAGGACAGAGCAAGTGGAGAGCAATAGTTTGAAGTTAGGCAGAAAGATTTAGCTCAGGCAAGGGGAAGACTGTCTCTCTCACTAAGAAGGGATTCAGATAATAGAACAAGTTACTAAGGCAAGTTAATTCATTAATTAACTAATTCATCTAATATTTATGAAATGCCTGCTCTGTGAAGGCATTGTGCTCCGTGTAGGCTCGGGAGTATAGAAACATGCTTAAAATACAGATAGAACCTCCAGGAGCTTATCATTTCCTGGGGAAGGGAAGGTATTTCCCTCAGTGATGATCAGACAAGCTCCACCTTCATATACAAATGTTGAACTCAGAGCAGAGAGAGGTGTCATCTAGTTGGGTGACCGCAGCTTCATGGAAGAGGTGGCACTAGGACTGCGAGTTAAAGGACATACACATGCCGTATATATATATATATATATATATATATATATATATATATATATGCACGAGAGAGGAAAAGGGCTGAGCCAAGAGGCAGAGGCCAACTAGGGACTGTCATTCCCTCTGGCCTTCAAGTACAACACTGATGGCTATTTGAAAGACCATTGTAGGAGAGAGTTGCCAACATCCATCCTGGGGGGGTTAGATATTCACTTGGGCTGGCCAGAGCTCTCTAGAGCACTGCAGACCTGTGGGGGGCAGATGACCAGACAACTCGCCAGAGACCCAAGGCAGGCTTCTGGCTCCCCTCCACCCTCCACCCCTGTTTTGGGTTGATGGGCAGGTATGACGCGCTGGGTGATCAGCGTCCCCCTAGGAACCCTTTGGTGGGCCCTGGGGTAGCATTCCGACAACCCTATGACTGTGTGCACTCGAGGACAGCCTGGAGGGGGGAGAAAGCATAGGGATCCTGGCTCCTCTGCTGGCTCGCTGAATACTAGAAGGAGTGCTGTGAGGGAAAGAACCAGAAGCAGGGTGTGGAGCTGTGCAGTGTGTACACGGGCAGCTGCCTGGATCAGGGGCTGCTTTCTGACCTGTGAATCAATGGCACCTTCCCCAACACTCAGAGGCAGACAGGGGTGTTGAATGTGTGTATTCATTTCCACCCCTGGGAAAGCATCCTCAGCAGCTGAGGGCTCACACCTCCATCGGCTGACGACCGGGGACCTCTTCAGTGCTGACTGCAGCCCACAAGAGCTTCCCTCCTGCCCAAGTCCCAGCATTTCCCCAGTACACAGCCTGAATGTAGGTGGCACAAGTGCCATGTCACCCAGGGACTTCTTTCCGGAAGTCCCGCTCTGGCTGTAGTCATCTGGGCGACAGAGCAACTCAGGGAGCTTTGAGGGATGCAGGATTGGAGCAAAGTGCCGGAATGATGAAGAATGTGAAGATACAGTGACTGAGGCAGTCAATGAGGTGTCCGGCCACCATAAAGCCTTTATGGACACTTGTTTGGGAGTGTCGTGCAGAGGAAGGCACGCTGACCACCAGCCTAGCCCATTACCATTTTATGGTGTCTCTCATCATCTCCTTGAGACTGAGCCTTTTTATTAACTGCACCTGTTTGGCAGAGATTGGGCACGGTGGGAAGTTGGAGATTCTCTGCCTGTGCAGCATGGAGATGGGGAAAGAGCCATGTTTGGGAACTAGGACACTTGAGTTCCACACCCTGCTATCCATGCAAGTGACAGTGGGCAAGTCATCTTCTTACCACCACCCAGCCTGTGCCCCTGAGCCTCAGCTTCCTCATTTGCAGAATGGAGGAGTTGGACCAAGTAATCTCTAAAGCATTAATGCTGATTTTCCAATTGTAACAAGTCTAGTATTTTAGGAATAATAATAACTTCAGTTTTTTCACACAACCCTCTTCTCAGAAAGGCCTTTCCCTGACTACCTTATTTAAAATTGCAAACCACTCTCCCTTCCCCTTGGCACTCTCATCTCAACTCCCTATTTGACATGAGACACTTTTTTGTAGTTTTCTGTACTGTCCATTTCCCCACCAGAATGGGAGCTCCCCAAGGGATGGGATTTTTGTCTGTCTTGAGCACAGCTATGTTCACAGCATAGGGCCTGGAAGTGCCTGGAATATAGTGGGTGCACAATAAATGTCACTGAATGAATACATAGATGCTGCTGCTTCATCATCATCATCATCATCATCATCATGACCGCCATCATCGTCTTGAGCCCTGTCTGTCCGTCCGATAAAGAGGATGCTTGCCACTAGGTTCCTGGCTCTTTCTGAGGACTAGGACTGTTGGCAGCAGCTTCCTTGGTGCCCCCTCCCCCCAGTACAATTAGGCAATCTGCTGCTGTGGAACCTGTTGTGTCCCCTTCCTGTGGATTCTGGTGGGTTCCCTCCAAACCTTCACCTCTGCCAATAGCAGGCATTTGGCCAGGTGGCTGCCTCTCCCTTAAGCACTATGATCACTGAAACCCATTCACTAGGGTGGAAGGGGGCTTCCTCCAAAGGCTCCAGGCACATGTCAAGGACTGGTTTGAGCAATGAGGGAAGAATGCATGTGAGCGGGATGTATGGACAGCAGGAGTGAGTGAGTGAGTGAGTGAGTGTGTGTGTGTGTGTGTGTGTGTGTGTGTGTGTCCTCTTCCATTTGCTCTCCACAGGGACCTAGCACTCTCTCCTGGTCCTGTCCATGCTGAACATAGGCAGAAAGTACCTCATGCCCTTGTTTTTGGCTCCAGAGGCTCCAAGAGACTCAGATGTGGGGATGGAGATGTTCCCTTGCTGAGCCAAGGCCAAGCAGCCCCAGTTACAGCCTTGCCTCCTTAGTTAATTAAACATTCTGCCTGCGTGCCCAGAGATGTTTTTATGCTACATTATTTTTCAGCTACAGGGAGTCCTAAAGACACCAAATATAAGTTGAGTCCATGTGCTTTCCTCTCAGCATCCTGCCAAGGATCTTTTCAGATGCCCAGAGACAAGTGCCCATCTCACTGCAGCCTGGCTGTCCCCTGCCAGTCTGTGTCACATGCACCAAAGCCCAGGCAGCCCTCGAAGCAACCTCACCCTCTCTCCTCTTGGCCCCTTCCACCTTGCTGGGCCACAGCTGGCTCACCTGGGCAATGTTTCATATGGCATCATGTGCAGCCAACTTTTGTGACTCAGGAATGTTGCCTTAGAGGAGGATATGGACAGAGGAAACATTTGTGTATATGTGTAACTGCCAGCGTGTGTGTGTGTGTAAGTGTGGATGGGTTAATGTGTGTGTATTTGTTGCATGTACATGCATATTGTGTGTACCAATGTGTACATGCATGGGTACTCATGCACACAGGTCTCTGCGCATGTGTGTGCATACATGTGCATGCATATATGGTGTATTCTGCTCTTAGCTCAGGGTTTAAAAAATTCAGAAGACAAGCAGTCCCAGAAGAAATGGAGGCAGCAGCTGTTTTTCCAGCTCATGGAGCAGCCTGGGTTTTTGCCGCACCCTGCCTAGAGCCGTTGGCCGGCCCCACAGAGAGATGCGGGGTCTTCCAATTGGTCTCACGCTTCTGGTGCTCTGCCCCGCCTCCACCTTGCCCTATCTACACTCCAGGTTTTTGCTCTGATCTTCTGGGTGGGAATCATGTCCCAGACAGGCAGTAGGAGTGCGGTCTAGAGTGCTGACCCATTCCTTCCTACCCCAGAGTCAGGACCCCTTTCCACACCCAGGGGCACATCCTCCTCCCTTCCCCTTGAGTAGCTTTTGGAACAGCACATCAGCTAATCAGGCAGCATGCTCATAATCAGCTCTGATGGCTTCTTTGCAAAAGTGCATTCTAATGAGGTAGGGAGAAGGAGCAGGGAAAAGATCAGGGATGAGGGATCTGAGCTTTCAGAGTGGCTGGGCCATGGGGTCTCAGAGGCCCTCATGCATGCTGCTTCTTGGTCTGGAGAGGAAACAGGTGACTTCACTGCTGCTAGGGCTGGATTTTCAGACCCCGAGGGTGGAGAAGAGGGAATGTGTATACATGTGCCTGTACACTGTACGCACACACACACTCTCGTGCTTTATGAATGCCAAGCTTGTGCTGAGTGCTGGTGCATGGGTTTTGCCCTCTAGGATAACATGCACACGCGCATGCATGAACACACCCCCTTTCCTGGGCTGGGGAGACACTGTTGCTCAGCACAGCACAATCACAACAGGCCCAGTGAGTCGCTGAGACCGAATGCATCAGATTCAATTCATTAGGACTGATCACTCCCTGAATGGGGTTGAATAATTGATGAGCAGAAGCAGCTTTCAGGATGTTCTGCGTACTCTGAGGCTCGCTGGAGCCTGTTATTTATTTATTTTTTTAAGCCAACAAACCCATCCAAATGCTCACTGGTGCGGGCAGTCTAAGGGAGCAGAGCAAAGGTTAGATGTTTTAATATGTGATGTTTACACTGTAAACTCTCAGTCCACAGCTTGTAACAGAAATAGATACAGGCGGCCGTGATGTCGGGAGGGGGAAGGCAGGCTGCACAGTATTCCAGGGCCACAAAATTGGGGCTATGACCTGGGGGTTGGAGGTTCCTGCCAGCACAAGGCCCGTGGGCTAGGCAGACACATTAGGCCTAGAAGGTGGCCAGGGTGACCCTCAGCTTGGCTGGGTTGCAGCAGCTGAGAAGCAGGGAGGAAGATGTTGTACAGGACTCCTCTCTCCTCCCCAGGCCTGAGGGGGCCACAGAGCCACCTCCCAGTTCTCGGGGCTCAAGGTGAGGCTTCCCAGTAAGTCACTCCTACCCAGACTACTGCCTTAGTTTTAGTTCAAGAAACACTTGCCCTCTAGCACAGTGACAGGTGGGTACACAAGGATGCATATGACAGAGCTCCTGTGTGCTGATGAGGGCGAGCAGGTGACGAGGAACACAGGAGAGAAGTACTCACCCTGCCTTTCACTGCTACTGCTCGGTTTTGCCTGCTGTCCCCAGACATTTCCACCTACATGTATTATCATGACCACATGCTTGAAGGGATCAAAACCAAATGCAGCATGCGTCTCCCCACTCATCCTTCTCCCAGGCTTCTTTCTTCCTGTCCACAGGCCTCCATTCAAGCTTGCTTCAGGAGTGTGGGACCCACTGGGGCCTTCCCCTGGTGCTGTGGCCTCTGCAGGCTCAGATCCCTCTGCTGTTTCTTCTTTCCCATGGGCCTCAGGGCCCAGGCTAGCTTTCTTCCCTTGGTTTATGTTTTCCCTTGAGGACATGGAAGGGGGGCCTCCCCTCCTCATCGCCTGGGGTGACGCATATGTCCAGGTGACAGGGGCTCTCAGAATTCTCACAGATCCTGTCTCTCTTCCCGACTCCCTTTCAGGTGGCCCCTGAAGCCCCTTCTGCATTTCTGAGGTGGGGTGTTCCTCCTCCCAGCCTGTCCTTCCTAGCTCTGGGTCCTTCTGGGTCAGAGAGAAGCTGCCTGGCTTTCACTGACCTCTCTTCAGCCAGGCCTGGCAGATCCTGTCCCCAGAGCAACCAGGTTACCCTGCTCTAACCCACTGCCCAGCCTCCAGGCCTGCCAGTTCCAAAGAGTGTGTTCGGGAGAGAGCTTCACACATCTGCACCGCCCCGGAACCAAGGGGACATCCATCATTTACTCATGCATTCATTTATTTACTCATTTATATTCATCCATTCATTTAATCCACAGACATGTACTGAATGGTTCTCATGTACCAGGCGTGATGCTAAGTACCCCTGCTCAAAACACAGACCTCATCCAGGCAAGTGTTACAGGTCTGGGAGGAAGGAGGCTTTTAAACAGCAGGAAGTGCTTTCCCGGCCTCAAGCAGCAATAGCAGTTGGAAGGTCCTTGCCAATCCTGTAAAAGCAGCCTGAGCCGGCCCATCTGTACCCTAGAAGGGAATCGGGGTACCCAGGGCATGCTCCCTTCGCCCAGCCTCCTGTTGCTTCTGTTCTCCTAGCTCCTGCCCCTTACGTCCTCTTGTCAGTCTCTAGTGGGCCCCCGCTAAGTTCTTGGTGGCTCCATGCTGACATCAGGGGACCTGTGTAGCCCACCATCTCTGTCCTGGGCCTCTTGCCTTGCAGGTAACCTGGCTCCTCTTTGTATATCACCGGCTCCTCGCGCCCCTGGGGTCAAGTGCTGCTTATCCTGTAGCCTACAGGCGTGAACCTGAATGTAGAGTATTCGTGGCCTTCTTGTGTTGTCTCCCCCAATCTTCCACCCAGCCCTCAGCTGGCTGGACAAGGACCCACAATTCTGGGCGACCAGCACAGCACTGGTTCCGGGGGAGGCCTACCTTTGACAGCTACGTGGACACTCTGGCTAATGGAGAGCTGGGGCTGGATGAGGACACTGCATAGGTACTCCCCCTCATCCATGCCCTTCTGCACGTCGGTCAGCTTGAGAGTCCCATTTTCAAACACCACCTGGCGGTGGTTGTCGGGCAGCAGCAGGGCATCCTTGTACCACTTGATGGAGTAGTAGGGGTAGCCGATGACCCTGCAGTTAATAAGGGTGTCCCGCCCGGCGACAGCTGTGATGTTCCTCATGGCGCGGATGCTGGGGGGGCCTGGGCAGGAGTCAGGAGGGAGGAGGAGGAGGAGAGCAGGGGGCAAGTGGTGCGGTTAGCCAGGGACAGCCGGGCGCTGCCCTGTGGTACTCTTCTCAGTTGCTTGGCCTCTGAAACTATCAGGACGGAAGTTCGGTGGCAGGCATGGGGTGGCTTCTATTACAAGGCTAAAGGTAGAGGCTGGAACTGGGGGCACCTGTGGTCTCTACAGGACTCTCTGTTACTAGCTTCAAATAGCTGCAAACAGACATGTTCCATTCATGCCTGGGGCAAGAATCCATTCCCCTAGTGGGAGGGGGTATGTGAGCAAACTGAAGGCGCACCAAGAAATGACCCGGATTCGGGAGAGCGAGTCCTCATTTATGAGGAGATTAAGATTTTTGAGTTAAAATGGAAATGTGGAGACTTTGTTATTTTCATTCAATTCCTCATCATGGCCCTGTACCCAAAAGGATCTTATGTACATTAAATATTTAAAGGACAATAGGAAGGTCTTTATTGAGTGAATTGATGTGTTTTGTGGGCCTCTGAGAAGGGTCTATAAAAGGGGGGCTCTGATCGCACTAGATGGGGAAAGGGAGTGTCATCAGTTGAGTCAGCTTGACAGATGGCAATGTGGGGGCTGTAAAGGGGCTCTGAGGCCACCAGGCAGGGCAGTGCTGGAGCGGGTGTAAGAAACTCCAGGCTTCCGTTTCCCCATCCAGTAGATGAGAGGCTGGATCAGGGATTCTCCCAGAACCCTGCAGCTTAACCCCTTCCAATTCAGAGGAAAGGGCAGGAGGGTGGCCAAATGGAGGGCACATTTCTCATGAGGAGTTGGAGACCTGGCACAAGTGAATTTAGCGTGAACACCCTGCACCTCTTCCCTGCCCCATGGCAGCTACCAGCGCACCTGGACCAGCGCCCCTACTCTCCTAACCTTGTTCTTCCTCTGTTCTTTGGGTCAGGAATCACTGGTAGAGTCAGATAAAGATCAATCTGACCTCCCAGGGCTGCAAAAAGCTTCAGAGGAGACTGTTCTCACCACAGTGATTTGGAGAACTGAAACATGGGGTGATCACTTTGAGGACTCCTTCCCATGCAGCTGCCTGCCTTGGGCCACCCCCACCCAGACTGAGCCTCCTACTCTTGATGGCTTGAGGCTTGAGGTGCGGGGAGGAGGAGGATGGAGAATCAGGAGAAGATGATGCTCTGGTTCCCGCTGCTTACAGCTCCTGGAGCATTTGGGGGATGACTCAGTGGGGGGACACTGGGAGCACAGCTCTGGTGAACACGCCTATCATAGGTCAAGCCTGGCCACATTGCCCTTCCTTGTCCTTGTCCTTGCAATGCCCTGATTGGGCTGGTGGATGCCAGCCGGGTACTAGTGTACCTGGGGCCAGAGAGATTTGATGGGAAGAAGGGAGGGGGCTCAGGTCAGTTTGCAGGAGAGGAGAAGGGAGAAGAGGAGGGGATGGGAATGCCAAGGCAGTGAACTGTACCCCCGCCTCCCCCCCACACACCATTGGATGATGGGACTATGGAGGTGGGGCGGGGGAGAGAGGGAAGGGGAAGAAAGAGGAGAGAGACCTCTACTAAAATCAAAATGACAATAATAAATACTAATCACCACAAGAATAATGGTAACCACAGAGATGGCAAAGGAACTCAAAAGCCTATTCTGATATTTAAATGTAGACAGGCACCTCTTACGTTTATTCGCGCCTGATATTCAGCACTGCCCACCGAGTTCCGCGCTGTGCACCGGTACACGCCCCCGTCGCGGATCTGGGGGCCTGTGACATTCATGTGGCTGATGGTGGTGCCGTCAGACATGGTGTACTGGTTGGTGCGGTGGCTTCCATCCCGCACGATGGGCTCATCGTCCAGGGCCCAGGTGACAGTGGGGGGCGGGGCACCCTTGGCCGCACACATCAGTGAGAACTGCTCCCCGGGGTTGACCACCTTCTCGCTGAAGGAGGAGACGATGCGGGGCGTGCCGTCTGCAGGGAGTGAGGAGCCCCCTTCAGAGTCACCGAGCCACTGAGTGACCATCCCACCAGGCCATCCCACCCCCAGGGGAGGAGGGAAAGCAGTGGCCATATATGGAACCTTCATGTACATCAATATAAAGAACCTTTATGTACATCAATTCATGCGCTATCTGCAAAACCCTGTGAGGTGCCAATTACTACTGCATGTGAATTAAGTAAGGCTCCTGGGTTTGAATCTTCAACCACTTTAGCTGTGTCTTTGGGTAAGTTACGTAACCTCTCTGAGTCTTTCCAACTCTAATCCATGGAGGATGGTGATAATGGGGATAATGAGTCTAAATTCTTCATACTGATGTTTATTAAATGAATTAATGCATGAAAAATGCTTAGCAAAGTGCTTTGTAAGTGCTTAATTAATATTATTCCTCTCAACTTTTCCTTTTCCACTTCTTTCTCCTCCCTTTATTAATAAAGATAGAGACTCAGAGGTTAACTGTGTGTGAAGCCAGGACATGACCAGGCTGGACCTGTGGAGTCTGATTTCAGTTCTCATTCTGGCAGGAGAGGGTGGTGGCACTGTAGCAAAGCCTGGAGCAAAATCCCTGAAGTTTGAGGCTTCAAATGCAAGCTGCCTGGTCCTGGCGGTGGGAATCTGTGGCCAGGTCTTAGTCTTGGCTAAACGAATAACCTTGGACAGGACAATGAATCCCGGTGCCCCAGCTTTCTCCATGGAACATGGGGGGATATAATTGCTGACCCCGGCCATCCTTCTACATATGATTGTTGTAAAGGATTAAAATAGGTGTTAAGTACTTAAAAAACCAAAACAAACATGAAAAAAAAAGAAAGCAAGGCAAATATAACAGGGCACTCTACATCCCACTCACATTTCACGCCAAAATGCTGATGTTAACCCAACACTTGGCCAGTCTGCCAGCCCCTGCCCATTTCTGAGGAGACCCTGGTCTAAAACCCGGGGAGAGCCTGATGCCTGGCAGAGTCTGGGAGTGGCCCCGGGTCACTGCCTTGGCCCCTCCTCTGCCTCTTCCCCTGTGCCCTCCATTTCTGGCTGTCCCTCCCACCAGCCTCATTTTCCACATCCTTGCTCTGAACTGGCAGTCACTTGACCTTGGGCAAGTGACCAAAGCCTTAATTTCCTCAACTGCAAAACAGGTGGCATTAAAACAAAAAGTATTTCTTCACAGGGCCCTTGGGAAGCTGAAATAAAACAGGCATCTGCCTGGTGTATAGGAAGTACTGGATAAATGCCTCCTATCAGGAGGGGACGGAGGGCGCCTGGGGCAGAGCTCCTCCTGGCCGGGCTTTGGGAGTCCTGAACCCACCCCTCTGTCCCGGCTGCCCCGGCTCACCCTCAAGCACAATGATGGCAAAGTCCTGGGCGGTCTGGGCCTTGCGGGTGGCGAAGCACTGGTAAGCCCCCGAGTGGCTCTTCTGGGCCGAGGTGATGAGCAGGGTCTCGTTGCTGAGCCCGCGGATGGAGATGGCCTCGTCGGTCAGCACCAGCTCGGTGTTGCGGTACCAGCGGATGGTAAACTCAGGGGAGCCCATCAGGGCACAGGAGAGGATGACCGTGCTGCCAATGCCGGTCTTCAGCTTCTTTGGTGTCAGGGTCACATGAAGGGGGTCTGGGCCGGGCCGGGAAGAGGTAAGGGGAAAAGGGAGAAAAAGAAAACGAAAAGGTCTTAGCGTGGGTGGAGCATGGTTGGATGTAGGCTGTGGGCATAAAAGGCCCTGGGAGTCAGGAGGCCCTAGTTCTGCCTCCAGACTTCTTGAAGGGCTTGGGGGAGGGGACTGGGGCTGGCAGACTCCCCTCTCTAGGCCTCAGTTTAGGTACTCCTCTGTTAAATGGCAGGGTCAAGCCAGGAGATCTCTCTGCACCTCTTGTTCTGATGGTCTGAGCTTTCTTGACGCCTGTCCCTTTGCTCGGGTGGGGCTGTGAAGCTCTCTTCAGCTCCTAAGTCGGATGGGAGCTTGACTGGCTTATCATCCTTCCTGTCACTCACCCCAGACACCATGGAGGCACCCATGGCTCAGCCACTCATGTTGCATACCCGTACGGATAACCAACTGCCGCCTTCTGCTGCTGGTCTGACTTCCTCCATACACATCAGTCAATCTCCGATCGCTCTTCACCCCCACCTCCACTGCCCTGCTGTAGGCCCACAGCTCCTGAACTGGACCTACGCAGCACCCTCTTCCCTGCCACCCCTTTCCCTGTGTTCCTCCATCTGTCCTCCATGCTGCAGCTGGCCGTTGCCCTGCTCAGAACTTTCATGGCACCCAGCAACTTGGCATGTCATTCAAGGGCATCAAGGTCCTGGCCCCCTGCTCAGGTACACAGTTTCTACATCAGCAGCCTGCCCATGTTTCCTGCATACCCTGGCCTACTTTTTGCCCCAAAGCCTCTGCCTAGAGTGCTCTTTGCCCCTTTTATCTAATACCTACTCATCCTCCACACTGAGCTCAGGTGTCATCTCTTCCAGGAAGCCTTCCTGGACACCACTCCCCTCCCAGGCTGGGTTAAAGATCCCTCCTCTGGACCTCCCTGTGTGTAATTAACACCATGCTAAGTACACAATCTTTGATCACTTCCTTGTGTCTCTCTCCCTCTGGACTGTGAACCACTTGAGAGCAGGGTGGTGTCTCTTATCGTTATATCCCTACCACTGCCTGAATCACATTTATTGGTTTTTCTCACTGGCTGCCTGGATACTAGCCCCAAGTCAGCCTCTCTCTCCTGTTCAACATGTACTTGGGGTTCTAGAAAGGAGGCTGAGACCTGTAAGGGCCTGAGACCCCCCCCCCAAGGAAGCAACCTGCTGGAGATGGGGAACTTCAGGCCTGTCTGGCTGGGTGCATGAGTCTGCTCATGCTCAGCTCTCCTTACTGGCTCCCAGAGCCTCTGTCTGCTGCCCAGGAAATGTCAGTGCACAATGAGGCAGGCGGTGTCCTGCTTGTGTCAGTCACTAGCCAGGGCTCTCAGGGCTCCCCAACCCAGCTGCTCTGTCCTCACTGCTCCTGCTCAGGCTTGGCAGCATAATGGGTTGGAGGCCTAGTTGCAGAACTGGGGGATTGGTTATGAAAAGCATTGCTTTCCTCTCCATAAACCTGGCAGAGAGGGGCTATCAGAGAGGATGGAAGACAGCGAAAACCATGTCCCTTCCCTTTGAGCTCAGTTGTACAGGCAACCCCACCGTGGGGAGGGTGGGGCTGAGAATCAGAGCAGAATTAGGTGTACCTAGGGGCAGGGTCCTTTCATCTGCCTGCTCTGCTATCTAGGGCTTGTTTGCATGAGAGTTAACCCCTAACCCCCTGAAGCTAGGCTTTCAGCATTTTAACCTAAGCATCTGTGTTATACACTGTCGCTCTCAGAGCATTTTGGGGGGCTCTTTCTGCTCTTTCAGCTTCATAATGAATTTACATGTGGAGAGCCTCTCCCTGGCACTGCAGATAAACACACTCCAACTGTCAGGACCCTTCAACTGTGGAGAAGAGACGGGGCCCACGTCTGGGCTGAGGCGACAGGGCACCAGCAGGAGGGGTTGGGCTCTGCTGTGGTTCTCTGGTCCACCTGAAGGTCTAGAGATCTCTAGCTCTGTGCTCATGAGACGGGTGGTGAGGTGGCAGAGGGAACCTTTCTGCAGGATGGGCTGGGATCCCCTCTGGATGGCCTCCTTCCACCGCCCAGGTGGAATGACCCTCATGATGCCATCAGGTACAGTGTTCGGGGACCCTGGCGATTGCTGCCCCACGGGAGTAAGATCCCCCAAGGGTCTCTGAATCTCAGCCCCACTACTCCCAACACCTTCCCTGCAGCCCAGAGATCAGGGCACTCAGAGTCAGGCTCTGGATGCCAGAGCTAGAAGGGTCTCTTCATTTAATAGATGGGGAACCTGAGGCTGGGTCACCCGAGGGAGGGGGAGGGGGAGGATGGGGGTAAAGGACCTCACTAATTCTCCTCCGGGGTTCTTCCCTGGCATCGGGCCGCTGCCCCTTCTTCCTTCCCTCCGCCCCCCAGGAGCTCAGCAGCAGCAGGGGCTTGCTACTAAGGCCTCCTGCTCTCCACACGGCCTCCCTGGACCTCTGGGCTCAGACATGGGGAGGAACAGGAAGGACAGCATTAATACTTGCTGGCACATCCTGGAAAGGCTGACTTGGTTGCTTACACCCAGTGTCTGACCTGAGTGGTCATGACAAATATTCTGACTGTCGCCTCTGATGGGATACATGCGTCCTCTCTAATGGAGTAACATCAGCATTGCTCCCTTCAGCATAGATACTGCCTCCTCCCGACGGGACAAGAAGCCCTGCAAGCTTCTCACCGTCACCTTCATGGTCCCGTCTGACTCCGTGACCTCTGGGAGGTAGGAAGGCCGGAATCCTTATCCCCTTTTACACAAAAGGGCACAGAGGTGATGACCATGGTTATGGGATTTGTGGTTAAGTCAGTTACTATCTGATAATAATGCCAGAAGCAAAGGCATGTCTTTTGATTTCAAACCCAGGGCTTTTCCCAGGACACCAAATGCCTTCCCCAACCAGGGAATGATCTCCTGGTGCTGGCCAGAGGCAGGTGCACCTGTCCCCATGTCCTTCGTCACACTGCGGTGCTCTCAAAGGTGACTTTCAAGGATGGGGCTGGAAGAGGGCCTTTTGCTGCTCACCAATGACCGTGAGGGTGCCTGTGGCCTCCGCTGAGCCGAAGGTGTTGGTGACTTCACAAATGTAGGTGCCGCTGTCCTCGGTCCGTAGGTCACTGATGGTCAGCCCTGTGATGCGCTTGGTCCAGCGGCTGTCGGCAGGGAGGGGCCGGCCATCCTTGAGCCAGCGGATGGCAGGGAGAGGGTAGCCGGAGGCAGTGCAGGGCAGCTCCATGGTGTGGCCGGTCCATACTTCCTGGGAGTGGAAGCCATCCAGGATGGTGGGGATCGACTCAGCAGGGTCTGGAAGGCAGAAAGTGTCAGCGGCCCCGACTAGCCTTGGGCGGGGTGACGTGGGGATGCGGAAGGGAAGGCAAGCACCCAGGGCAGGAGCCTGCCTCTCGCTGGCGCCCAGAGTGAGCAATACCCAGTGCGGGAGGGCTCGTGGCATCTCCCTGAGCCCAGGCCCTGGCCCAAACTCTCCTACTCGGGCCAGACAGAGGCCCTGAGAACCATGAGGAGGAGCAGGTGCTGGAGGAGGAGAGGGTATGACAGGTAGAGTAGGCTAGAATGACAGACAGACAGACGGGAAAGGGAAAGAGAGCACGCGGCACAGAGGAAGAGTGTGTGTGTGAGCTCCTTCACACAAACAGTCCCTTTAGTCTGGCCAAGACTCAGGAGCAGTGAGTCCCTGTGACATGAGAATCATGACATCTTGGGTTTGCAACTCTTGGTAAGTCTTGGTCTGGGCCTTAGCCTGGCCTGTGAGCGCCCCTCCAGAATGGGGGAACAATCTGCCTGCCCTGTCCTGTGTCCTCCCACCTGCAATCTGGGCAGAATCAGAGAAGGCTAGTGCATTTCCATCAGAGCCCAGGAGGATTCGGAAGTTAAGCCTTCTGCAAACCACCCCCACCACCTCCAACAATTCTCTGCTTTGCATTCCCAAACCAAAAGAAATCTGTGACTGCAAGATCGTGGCTCTAAACTGCAGGAGACCCAGGTCCTGTGGAGGAGGACTCATGTCACTGCTGAGTGGTGCTCTGGCTGCTATCTTAGTCTGGTTCTCACCCTAAAAGGCCTCCTTGGGCTTCCTGCCATCGGGGACCTCTCCTTGCTGTAAAATCTCCATAGCACCTCCTCTACATACATACAGGATACAATCTACACTTATTTTGAATTCTAAGGCCTTCTATGATCATCCCCAAACAGGGCTCAGCACGGTCTGTCTACACTACCTCCCCGCACCTCTCCTCTCAAGCGTTTCCCACTTGGGGCATGCATGTAATCTTGCTGTCCTTCCCCTCGATGCCCAGCCAGCCCACTCTGCTTGGCCAACTCCTATTCATCTTTCATAAACCAGCTTACATGTCACCCCCTGTGGACGTCTAACCCAGGCCACTGTCACTGGACTCTCATAGTTTCCTTTTTATTTAATTTTATTTTCAAACAACCTTTTCTTTCTAAATAAAACAATTCCGAAATGTTATACACACACATGACAAAACTTCAGAAAGTATAGAAGAGTATACAGTGAAAAGAGAGGCTCCCTCACCCCTGACCCCAGCCACTCCATTTCCCACCCAAGAAGCAGCCACTGTCGCTACCTCCCCCATGGTCTTTGCCAACAGCAGTTAGCACCAGGCCCTGTGTTTGTTTCTCTGGAAGATAGTGAGCATCTTGGGGCAGCATTGATCTGTTGCTGTATCTCCTGTGCCTGTCACAGAGCAGGGCCCTCTGCAATGAAACCATTAATATCTGAGGGAGGATGAACGGGGTCACTCAGGCGTGGGGTGGGTCAGTGATCTGTATTTCCCGCACTGTAGAATGTTACAGGCTACGGAATAGTAGAGTTGGCTTAGGGACCTTGGAGGGCGCACACAGATGAGAATCCTGAAACCAGAGATATGCGGTGGCCTGCCCAGGATCACACTGCAGAGCCAAGGTCGGAAACCAGGTCTCCCCTCACTCTTGTTCAGTAAATGGGATGCGAGATGGAACCATCTAATGCTGAGTTTCACTCAAGATCAGCTGAGACTGTGGATCCTTCTTGTCTGATGGGAAATTCTCTCTATCCTCAGCCCATCTCTCTTCAAGAGGGGTTGGGCTATGAACTCTCTTCCCTGGGAGAAAGACTTTCTAGAAGATTCTTTTCCCTTTCCATACTCCACTGCTCAGCTGGGACTCAGGAGACCAGCTGCAAGTCTGCCTGGGTCACAGATCTCTGTGTGACCTTGGGGGAGTCTTATGATCTCTCAGAGCCTGAGTTTCCTCATCTGCACATGAGGTAGAGGTGATAAGGCTGCCTCTAGATCTCATAAGGTTGTCGTAGGTAACAATGTATGTCAAAGAGCTCAGTGGACACTAAATCACTATGCAGATGTGCTGGGCAATTACTATTTGGGGCCCTCCCTCTTTTCCTGCCAGCTTCTATGGCCTCTTCCCCCTACAACCCTGTGGGAATGGTTGGGATAAACAAACCCGGTGCCAGGGAAGAATTACTCAATGTGACACTTAATTGATGCAAAACACACAAATTCGGTGGCACACCGCAGAATTTACAAGCAGAGGGGCTGACAGGGCGGTGGAGGAAGGGGCGGGGTGGGGGGTAGGGAATTAATCACCGAGTCTCAGGCGTGAAATTAAATTCTGAGGGAAAGAAACCTCTTTCATTACTCTGGAGCAGAAGTAAAATGCTGTGGCGTGTACCGCGACAGCCCGGGGGGATCCCGCGCTGCCAGGGCCGGTGCAAGGCTGGGGAGACAGATGGCCAGCCCTGAGAAATCTCCAGAGGTACTGGGACTGGGCTAGGAGGATGTGCACCCCCGGGGGTGCTGCTGGGACCTCCCCCAGTCGGCTGAACAGTGCTGCCTGGAAAGGGCAACCCTCCCCCCACACCCCCTCCACCAAAGTGGCGTCTGCCCCAGGCTCTGGACTCTGTGAGCTGGAGAACCCTGTTTTAGTCCCAGCCTCTCTGGTCACTGGTTCCCTCCTTTGTAAATGTGGGTGATAATGTCTATTCCACAGAATTAATGAACTGGAAAGCACTTGGTTAATCTCAAAAAAGCACCTAGATGCACGGAATGGTTATTATTAGGTTGTATTTTAGGGGACTGAGACTATTCTTGTAACTGCTTCCTCTCCCTTGGAAAATACAGAAAAATGAAAGTTGGGGGGGGGGCACCCCCCCAAAGGTTTGACAATGTAGGAATAATAACGCAGCAACAACAGAACCATAACAGCTATATCAGCAAAAGCAGCAGCTATTCTCTATTGAGTGCTTCCTGTGTCAGGCACACGCCTGTTTTTTGTATGCCTAAGTTTTGTGCATCCGTACCCTATTTAATTTTCATAACAACCCAGTGGGGTACGTGTTGTCACTCTCATTTTACAGAGGAGGAAGCTGAGGTTTGGAGACATTTTCTGCCAGGTTGTGCAGCTCGTTGAGTGGTGAGGCTAAGACTGGAAGTGTGGCCTGATTCCTAAGTCATTATCTCCCTCCTCCTCCCCGCCCTCTTACTTTATCAAACACTTCCTGAGCACTGAAGAAATGTCAGATATAGCTGTGGCCCTCATCAAATGATGACCTACAGCGCACTGCCATGTGTATCATTCTCACCTGCTCCTCTTGCCTTCGGGCCTGGGGAGAGGGGAGGGTGGCCATCCCCTGGGGGGGGGTGCACATCTCAGACCTTCTCAGCCACCAGGTGCCTCGGCCAGGACACCCCGGCTGCATCTCCCCATCCCTGGATTCCAGCTGCTGGCCCAGAGCTTCTGGCCAGGGAGGGACCACACCCTTTTCTGCCACCAGCCCCAGGAGCTCATAGAGCTCTGGTCACTAAAGAGTGAAACATCTCAGCGGAAACCCAGTGCTCCCTGGGACTGACCCCCATCCTCTCTGGGAGTGGAGAGGCCTGTGGGGCTCAAAGCTGAGGCCTAAGCTCCTCTGGCATGCACTCGCTCCTCCTCACCCAATTCCCCTCTGCAGTGCTTCACTCTAGTACCAGTTGCATTTTTGCCAACACAAGTAGCTTGCAGATCACCTTGTCACATCACATCGCATCAGGCCCCAGTCACTCAGGCAGAGGCCCTTCCCCTTGGCCCCCCTCTGTTCCCTTCCTTCAGTTCTCTCCTCCCTTTGAATCCCCTTTTTTCTGTGGTCTGCTCTCCTTCTCTGTGCCTGTGTCTCTCCACTTTCGTCCATCTGGGCATTTTTCTATCCTTATTTCTTTATTCCTCTATTTGGGCTCTGTGTCTGAGTCTCTGGGTGCTCCCTCTCATTCTCTGCCCGCTTCCCCTTCTCCTAAGAGCTGGTGGGCAAGAAAGAGCAGAAGGAGAAGGGTTGGCATATCCTCTAGTTTAAAGAGTGTCTTTTTTGAGGGACTCTTCCCTATTCCCCCAAGTGGAGGTGAGGTTAGTAGGATGAAGGGGCTAAATATTTGGGCAGGAGAAAGGAGCATGTCTGTAGGAGTGGGGCTTTCTGTGCCTTTCCCACATTGTATGAGCAGCATGCAAATGAGATGCAAAGCACCACACAAATAGGTCCCTATAAGTTGGAATGGAACAACTCTGACACGTTTGGGAACTAGGTGGCGGATTCCAAAGTCTAGTCACAAACAAGGGGCCACACAGTGCAGCCCCATTTCCTCCTCCATGACAACACAGTTTCCTTTGGCATTGGCTAATTTCATAAATATTTACTTAGCACCTACTATGTGCCAGGCATAGGGCCAGCTGCTGGAGACAAAAGGAGGAATCAGAGAGCCTGATCCTTGCCCTTCTGGCTCCTGCTCTCCTGGTGTTATCTACAAATGAATTAGGCAAATGAGAGGGGATCCTGGAAAGAGTCATCTACTGGTCTGGGTCGTCCTTGCCAAACCATACAATGTCAGGGGCACAGAAAATCAGAGCAGTCACCTAGCTGAGCTCCTTTTCCAGAGGCCCAGAAAGGTTGCCCTGATTTGGTGGGTCTAGTCTCCAAACCCAGGAGTCCCAACTATTAATTCATCCTCCTTGCAAGGAGCAGAGATTTCAAATTACAGGTCACAAACTGTTAGGAAGTTGTAAAACCCATTTTGTAAAGTTGTGGCCAACATTTAAGTAAATCAAAATGGGATAAAATAGAATAGAAAATATCAGAGTGCATTGCAATGCATGCTGGTAGGAAATGACAGTGTGCATTGCAGAGATTATGATAAAAAAACATCTGTCTGTGGATTGCTGTTGAAAGAATTTCAGAAGCACTCTCCAGAAATCCTTCCTTGAGGAGCACCGTGTGGTCTTTTTTACTCTGTGACTGGGGCCTGTGTGTGGTGTTCAGTTGGCCCCTTCCATGAGGGGTTGCGAGTTGGAGGAAGCTGGGGTGAGAGGTGAATTCTGGCTGTGCCTCTTACTGCTGGGGCAAGTTGCTTGGCTTCCTTAAGATCTGGTTTTCTCACCTGTAGAAACAGGAAGAGTAGTGCACACCTCACAAGGCTCTTATGGTGCCGAACAGAAAACACATGAGTGCAATTTCTGGCACACAGGGGGATTCAATAAATATTAATTTCCAACCCTCCTTAAGAAGTTATAGTCAATCACTCAGAATAAGAATCTTTTATTTAATTTATAAATATTTTTGTTTATAATACGAATTATATTCTGCCTATTTTCGAATGCTGTGAGGTGGGCTACAACAAAAGATTGTACTCATAAATAGATAACATAGAATTTTTTGTACTCATAGATTTTTTTGTACTCAGAATTTTTTGTATTCAATAGATTTATGTACTCATAAATAGATAAAATAGAATCTTAAAAAATACTTAGAGACACAAGGAAATTCAAAAACCTTCCCAATCCAATCCAATCCAATCCAGTATAATCTAATCATTATTATGTTTGAGCATCAGATTTTATCTGTGAGTTTCCTGGCAGCAAAGGCATAAAAGGAAGGCAGGGAAGGGCTCCATACCGCTCATTATTTGATAAATGGCAACATATTTATCAGGAGATCAGTCAGTTCTTCAGGAGAGTTAAGCTTCCTCAGGTACACACTCCTAAAAACAATTTATCTCTGGAATCCTTATATGAAGGGTACCCCCAAACCAAACTGGACAAGGTTTGCCCCAGCAGTTCCTATACCTATGTCCTTTAATATCCTTCTCTGGGTGCCCTGAGTACATAGCAGACTCCCCAATCCATGGCATGGACATGCCCAGTTTCAGGGTGGGCTGGTGCCCTCCCCCCCACAACCCTCTTGCCTACCTGTCACAGAAAGTCGGGCCCCATTGCTTTGCCGGGTCTCCCCGCTATACTTGTGCTTGGTGATGCAGCGGTAGGTGGAGAGGGCGTCCTCCTTCTGCACGTCAGAGATGTATAGCCCGCCGTGGTAAGTAATAAAAAACCTGTTTTCTGGAGACACAATCAGGACATAGTCCATTACTCCCCTGGCTGGGCATACCCCCAGAAGCAACTTGGGCCGGCAGCTGGCCTTCTCCCAAGCTAGGCCCAGGGACAGGAGGTGACGGAGAAAGCAAGGGAGTGAAGCTGGTGCAGCCTGGAAGGCAGAGTAGCATCTCCAGTAGATGAGGATTTTCTCTAGGCAAACAAATAGAAATTACAGTAATTATTTCTTTAAGTGTAAATGCTTTAGTGTTTTACAGAAAGGCAGTGGGATTTAGAGTCAGGCCTAGATCTGGGTTTCAATCTGACTCTTACTCTTATTAGCTGTGTGACCTTGGGGAAGTTATTTAATCTTTCTGTGCCTTATCTATACAATGAAATGTAAATAATACTTCATAGAATGAATATAAAGATTAAAAAAAATAACTGTCTGGCACACAATGCTCACTTAGAATAGTAGTCCTCATCTGCCTTACCTTTTTGCAAGAGTTTGCAAAGGTCTTTCATATTCATTGCTTATATATATTTGTTCTTCTTTTCTATGGTTCTTGGTACATACTAAATGCTGAGACATTTGCTATTATTATTTCTAGTCAACAATCTTGACTTGGCCTCTTCCTTATATCCTTAGTTATAGGAGCTCTGTTCAGCTAGTCTTCAGATGGCTCGTGAGGTTGATTGTTCTATAATTTAGTTGTAATTTTTACATGGTCATAGGAGGAGGCAAGCACAGCATTAATCTACTCTGCCATCTTGCTGGGAACTCCTGTTATTTGTCCTTACAACTGTGTCATCTCCGTTTTCAGGTCACGCAGCCAGTAAATGGACTGGAACTCAGGCCTTCCAGCTCCCAGCTCTCCCTTTTTATTGAACCAAACACAAACCTCAGTCCTTTTCTCTCAACTTTAATCATTTATTCACTCAACAAATAATTATTGAGGCTAAGCTACACTAGGAATGGGGATGTGGAGCTGCAGATACACGATAATTATTCAACAAACAGTTCTTGCATACCCATTCTGTGTAAGGTAAAGGCGCAGGCACGAAACTTGACCTTTCCTGACCCCTCCACAACCTTTTACTGTCGGGTCTTGGCAGGGAAGTCAGAAAGACAGGCAGTGGTATACCCATTTTGCTGATTTTGACATAAGACTCCACTCAGAAATAGAAGGGGTTTTCTTGTCCAAGGTCCTAAGGCAAAGCATGAACTCGAGCTAGTCAGGGCTAATTTAAAACGGGGAGCACGTGAACACGAGAGTTGGGGAGGGGCTTGCATTCAGCTTCTGGACTCCCTCAGCTTCTGGCAGTGTCCTCCCACCTAAGACCCAGACAGACTGAGACTGAGAACCTAACTTTGGATCTCTCTGCCCGATCTCTAGGGGCTTAGCTTCTTGCCTAGGAAGGCGTAAAAGACCCCGGAGCTGCCACTGCCTTTGGGAGGAGGCATTGGAATCAGGACAGTAATAATGACTTAGAAAGAAAGGTCGGGGAGGGTAATGCCGGCTCCACAGGAAGGACCTGCTGACATCAGAATGTCAGGCTTCCATAGGGAAGCATTTTGGATGGCTCCATGCCTTTCCAATCCTATTATTTAGAGGTCAGAGGTCAGCGTCCTTCTAACTAGAGGGCTGAGTGACCTCCTAAACCAATGACAAGAGCTTGGATACTGGTTTACCCGCCTATTAGAAATATTCAGCTGTATCCCACCCCTCCAGGCACAAGTTCAAGATCTCAGCATCTGGAGATGGGGACCTCACTCAAGGACACTTTCCGACAAGGGACGCTATAGAATTGCAAGGTTGGAAAGCTGAATGTATTTGACTACTACCTCTTTGACAAAGGTTCTCCAGCCTTTATTTGAATATCTCCCGGGCTGGGGAACTCATTACCTCACTCAGTAGCCCATTCCAAAGTTGATATCTCTGACTTTTAGAAAGGTCTTCCTTGGTCACAATTAGTCTCCTCGTAACTCCCTCCATGGGACCTGGTTCTACTCACTGGAACTCTACAGGGCCAGCCTAAACCTGTGTTACTGACACACTCCCTCACATATTAGAAGGCAGCTATCGTGGCCTTTGACTTTTCTTCAGGCTAAGCAGTCTTAGGATTTTATTTTTTAATAGTTATTCATTTAATATGGTTTCAAATAGCTTCATCACTCTGGTTGGTCTCTTGCTTCTTAATAAACTTTGGTGTAGCAACAAAACTAATTCTCCCTGCCTCCCACCCTCCCTCCCATTCTTCCTGTCTTCCTCCTTCCCACTCATCTTTGTATAGGACCACACTATGTGCCAGGCACTTAGCCACGTGGTGAGGAGCTAACAAATCAGCCTTATCTGACCAGGGCAGGGTGGAACAGGACTACCAACCTCCAGCTTAAGACTGAATCCGCTTGTTAGAAGGGACGGATGGGCATGGGAGGCAGCCCCATTATACTACTGCATCGCATTCTCCTTCCAGTCAGCCAAAGGCCCTGCTTGTGTCCACACCACTGCTAGGCCACTTTTTCTCTCTCCACCCTTGGACACCTGGCTCTGGGGGCCCAGGCCTGGGACTGTGCGTGGATCCCTGCTGAGCACCATCTTGTTGGGCTCCCTGTAGATGAACACTCAGTTGTCTGGCAGCCTGCCAGTCCTCTGGAACCTGGAGCTGACGAACCCTGCCCCACTGCCTCCAACACACAGACTATACCATGCAGACCCCACTGAGTGCTGCGAGGAAACCACGAAAAGGAAGCGGGAAGGAGCGAAGCCCTGCTGCCGGCAGCCAGAGAGGACCTGCAGGAAACGCAGAGAAAGCCTGGCTCCCTCACGAGACTCCGGATGTGCCATGATGTCTCCGTGTTGTGACATGCCTAAGTCAAATGCAGAAGCTCTCCTGTCATTTATTATGTAACTGGGACTGGAATACAGACTACTGGAGGGTGCTGCTGCCAATCAGAAGGGCCACGGTCAGAGGTGGTGGCGGCAGGGTGAGGAAAAACAGGGAAGACTCCAAACGAACCCTAGAAGCCCACAGGTGCTTCAGCCTGGACAGCTAAGACCCTGTGATCCCGCAGCTCCCAGCACCCCAGGACCAGGCAGCACTTGCCCCCACTGGAATTTTAAGCTGGGAAGGGGTGCTGTGGTGATGGTGGTGGGGAGCTGGGGTTTCCATAGCAACGAGCAGCTGCTGCATCTGATGTTTCACATCCTTCATTGTCCTCATTTCCCCCCTCCCTTCCCCCCCTCCTTGTGCATATTTAATTGCAGTAACGTTTCCAGACACAGTGTATTGCTCCTGAAACAAAGGCAGGCTGCAGCCAGGGGGATGCAGAGAGAAGGAGGGGAAGAAGAAATCAGGGGTATTATGTTAATCCCCTCTGGGGGGGCCTTGTGCAACATCAGCTCTGCATGTTTGATGAGAATCAGATGATGGGCCCTGCTGGGGAAGGAAGGAGCAAGGGGTTTGTGGAGTGAGCAGCATACGGTGTCTGTTGTGTGGAGAGGAGAGGAAGCACAGCCAGCTGGTGGGGGGTTTGGAGGGGCCCGGGATCGACAACATGGCTGGCCTCCAAGGCGGGCTCCGTCCTGGTGCCCCGGCAGTCTGGCAGCCCATACTCCACACCCCAGATAGGATCAGCAGTCCCTGGAATGGGTCGAGGAGCTGCGGTTCCACAGCTTGGCTCGTCCTTGGAGCAGGCTGCGTCCTGCCAGAGGAAGGAAAGGGTGGCAGCGAGGACCCCTGCATCCAGCCCCCCTCCCGAGGCCATTTGGAAATGTGTGTCTGGGATAATTTCTGCTGGGCAACATAACTAGGGGGGGGTGGGGGGTGCTAATGGCATTGAGTGGAGAGGGGCTAAGGATGCTGGATGCCAAGTGTCCCTCCTGTGGGGCCTTTTTTTTAGGCTCCTAAGACTAGGACATAGAACGGTGTTTAAATGTGGACACTGCCTTTGGTACTGCTTGACTGTCACATCTCAAAGGCTGTGGTTTCAGCTGTGAACACACCTATCGCCAGGGAAGTGCTGCGTATAGTTAATGAATCCTTTTCTTCTTTTTATTGTTACTGCAAACACTTCATCCTGCTTCATTACTCATTTTCCTGGTGATCTAGAGCAGGCCTGTCCTTTTTTAAAAGCTAATATTTATTGAGCATCTATTACATGTTAGGCCAAAAGCTTTACAAACATTATCTCATTTAACCCCCACAACCCTTTGAGATGGATACTATTATTATTATTAATCAAAGCACAGATAGGTTAGATACCCACCCATGGTCACACAGCTAGTAAGTGGTAGAGCCCAGACCATTAGTCCACTTCCTATGTTCTTTCAAAGCTCTGCACTAGACTAACTCTCCTAGAATGACAGCGCCTCTCATAGGGACATGTTGTCAGCCAGCCTCTGCTTTGTTGCTTCTGTCAATGGGGTCCTTACTACCTCATGAAGCAGCACTCATTCATTTAAGTTTGTTTGGCTCAATTAATCAAGTCTTTATGGAGGACCCTAGGTCCTGGACTAGGCTCCATGGGGAAGTCTTGAACTTGGTCTCTGCTCCCTGGGATTCCACATTCAGAAGACAATGCCCTTCCACCAGGAAATGTGTGGTCATCAGTGCTGGGGGCTGGTGAAGGGTGGGGAGGGGCCTCGATGGAGGCCATTAGTAAGAGGAGGAGAATAAAGAGGGGACAAGTCACTGGTGAGGTGGGGCAATGGAGGATAGGATTTAGGAGGCTGGATTGTAGTCCTGACTCTGCTACTATGATGGGGTATATACTAGCTTGAACACTGTCCCCCCCCCCAAAATTAATGTCTATCCGTTAATGTCTAGCTTGTGAATGTGACCTTATTGGAAATAAGATCTTTGCAAATGTAATCAAGTTAATATGCATTCACACTGAATTAGGATGTGCCCTAAATGCAATATGACCGGTATCTTTATAAGAAGAGGGAAATTTGGACACAGGCACACAGAGAGAGACAGAAGGCCATATGAAGACAGAGGCAGAGATTGCAGTGATGCATCCA